TCACGGCTTTCAGGTACTGGTGCTTGGCCTAAAAGTACAATGAATCAAAAGCTTAGATGTTTTTCTACACGGCGGGCATAATGCACTAGTATACACCAGCAGATTTTTGCCGTTTCCCCTGAACGAAAGTTTTTACTGTTTACCGGCTGTGCTATTGAGGCCACACATGTCGGGTTGAACACCGTGACATTTCACATTTTTCAACTCTCTTTGAAAATTTTATTTCCTGCTCACGAGAGATTTGATTCTGTTTTCATCTAGAACTATGGTTAACAGAGAAAAACATAGGTTGTACAGCAAGAGAGCACTTTGCACTTCATTAAAAGATATGACCCCTCAATTACTTCTGAGCGATATTGGAAACATCCCATAATCGGAAACATGGAAACAAATGAATATTGCAAGGAGAATATTTTAACAATAATTTGAAAGAAATAAACAAGCTTGTTGAAATCGAACGGTAAATATTTTACCTATTTTCATCACTCGTAGGCGGCATGCATCATCACCACAATTTATTAATAAAAAGAAAAGAACACATTCCGAATCAAGGGAAAAGACGATTGTTCTCAGTGGCTAACGAAGCCAAAGGGTAGTCGCCTAGCGAACACTATTGGGATTCTCGATCGTGTGATTCCAGCTTACCTGCAAGTGCAGGTCCTTGTCGATCTGTTAAGACATCAAAACCCAAAGTTTTCCACTCCAAACGCTAATTTCTGTGGAAATTATATCGTTAATTTTATAAGGCCAAAACCGTGTTAAAACTAGGATTTTCATCGAAAGGCTGGAAAAGAAGCGATACTTTGAACGCAAAGTGGTTTATTGCAATAAGTGTCTAATTTCTCGCGCGCTGATTGGCTCATTTTTATCATCAATAAGAGTACGGATGGATAAAATTTTAATATATGCAAGCTTTCAAGTTCAACTTTCAGCTGTCAAACTGTCAACTTTTAACCAATGAGATATGGACTTTTTTAAGTAGCCAATCAAAAAGCGAGAAAAGCTATTGAAACTGTTCACGTCATTTTGAATAAAATTCACTTATCTTTGTTAACGGCAAGTTTACAGCGTCTTTTCCCCTCCCTCATTTATTCCCGGCATTTGACCATTTTGGGGTCTTGTAATTGTTAAAAAACAAATTGACATCAGTTTTTTTATGTGTCTGTCCTCTTATTGATGATCATAAATTTCGTCATAACATTGTCCAAGTTTACTGCGGAACCACTCGCCTCCAGCTCGTGGTTCCACAGCCACTTTGACAATGTTATGACGCAATTTATTATCAATATGAGGACAGACGCATAAAAAAATAAAATAAAGTAAACAAAAAATGAAAACGAATTAAATAGGAGGAGACAAATCTAAGTGCCTCAGCTGCTGGTTCAGAGTTGGAATTTCTCATTTAATATACAGCGCCTCTTTTATCTTAACTAGAAAACTCGAGGCGGCGGAATCTAGAATCATGCTCATTCTCGCCTGGTTGTGCCAGCTGTGGCCTCGAACATATGTCTGATTCAACTACTGTTGGCGCGCGCGGGGGTCTTTTGTGTGTTCCAATATTCGAATTGTTGACGTAAATCTCATGGCGTAATTCTTTAACGTAATCATTTATACAGTGAAAATTCAAATGTACAACCGTCGAATATTTGCCACTGAAGATGATATAGGAATGTCAAAACGTGTTTTGTAAAAAGAAAAATGTTGTTTCCTTTTTGAAAACACGCAAAGCATTTTTTTCGGTGATCAACACGCTGCCGCTTATGTGTGCTTCAAAATGATGGCAAAAACAACTGCAATCATCGAAGCCTTCATTCTCGTTATCATCTGTGCAGCTTCTATTTTTGGAAATATCACATTGTTTGTGATTCTCACAAGGAGAAAGACCCTTCGCACCATCGCTAATGGCTTTCTTCTCAACCTTGCCTTCGCTGATTTGCTCGTGTCCGTGTTAAACATGCCAGTAACTGTGGTCACCATTGTCGAGCAGCGCTGGATATTTGGAGACAGAGCCTGTAAGCTCTTGGGATTCACTACAATGCTGTCGTTTGTTTCATCCGTAATGTCACTTGCTATGATAGCAATCAACAGATATTTTTACGTGGTGCGGTGGAAATCGTACCACTCCATCTTTACACCTAGAAGATCGGTGCTGTTTGTGGGAATTGTATGGTTAATGTGTGTGTTGTTATCCATCCCTCCGCTGTTTGGCTGGGCTGAATATCGTTATATTCCTGGCAAATCGTACTGTTTTGTATCCTGGTCTTCTGACGTGTATTACATGTATTTTATGTTAACGATATGTTTTTTCGGACCTCTATCTGTAGTAGCTGGCTGTGGTTCCAAGTGTCTAAGATCTCGTAGAGTATCTGCTGAAGTACGATCTTCAGTTCACAGGAGTACCACGCGTACGCAAGATCCAGAAGTGGTGGAAGTGTCAGGAGATTTAGTAAAAACATCTCTTAAGAAAGCTGATACCTCCAAATCAAAGTCTGATTTTCAGGATTCGGAAAGCACTCGAATAGCTTAGGAAGCGAATTAAAAAATTTCTCCGTATATCAGCGGTAGGTATGATCGCTGAGAGAAAAAAACGAACAAATTTTTCCACTTGTACTTTCACTATGGAAAACAAGTTTTAATTTCTTTTAAGGTGGTTTCCAACTATGGCAATTAATATTGTCATTGGATCTGACGTTTCCCAGTTTACTAACTTTTTAGTAAAGCGAAAGCGAGCGAAATATTGATTCTTGTTGACCGACATTGCAATTTCTCCAAACCGAAGCCCTTTAGATATTACGTTTTAAAATCATTAGGCCCGTAGATTCTTTCATCTTAGAAAAGCTAACTTAGTTTTAGTGTCAAAGGAGACATGTATACAAAAGTTTTTATTTATTGCATGAATAATCCACGGCCATCAACAGGACATCTGCTCTGTTTGGACAATAGCATTATTTTAGAATAAGAATTTTGTAAGGTGTCTGTAAACATAGAGCGGTTTAATTTTCAGTTGAGTATGGAAAGTAATCAGTCGCATTTGCATTGCTTTTGTTTTGCAGTGATTGACTTAAAACCTTGGGCTACTTTGTCGGCTAATTAGTGGTAGTGGTGGAAAACAAAAGATTTAAACAACTGGCTATGATTATGTATGAAATCCATAATAATCTTTCCTCATCCCACCTGAGGCGGATTTCAACACCTCAAATGTAAACGCACACAATCTTAGAATTTCTGAGATAAATTGCTATGTCCCCAGACCAAGAACGGAATATGCAAAAGGTAGCCTGCTCTACAGAGGATCTGTTCTGAGGAACAAGACTCCCTCGGAAATCAGACACCGGCCTAGTTTAAAACTGTTCAAGGTCATTCCCCGAAAAAAAAACCCGCCATTATGAGAGATTTTCACTCAAAGTTTGCCTGTTGCATGGCAGCTTATATCAAGAGAACTTAAATTTTGAAAGAAAAAAGGGGGCTCCAGGTATTCGTTTAGGAACAGGAAGACCGGCTTCAATAAACCCCATAATTCCTTAAATCATCTGCTTTTAGAAACGTTTATATTTGAACCACTCACTTTACGCTTTGTGAGAACAGAAAAATATATAGGGCGAACTTTAATCGAGAAATACAACACTGAGTGTATTGCTGGTTTTCAGTGTCACGCAATTCAAAATAGATCAAAATAAAAATCAAAACAGGTCGATAGATTAAGTCCAGAATCTGGGAAATGAAAGAAGGTAAATATGCAAAGACTCTCGCTAAAATTCTGGTCACAGAAATTTTTATTATGCGAGATATG